TCAATCCTTCCAGTGCTAGAAACTGAAGGATAACAAATAAGAGCCATGCTTGGAGCTTGAAAACCACTTTGGGGTTCTTGGATGGAGATGCCAGTGCGAGACCTTTTTGGGGGTCTTGGATCTGCAATTCCTTTTCCCTTTGCTTCCTTAGTCAATTTAGGAGCCATGGTCTTTAGGAATTTTCTTACTTTGAAGCTTGTAACTCTTTTAGAACTTTTATCAAACACTTGGTGTGCAACCCCAAAAGTGTTTGTATGAAATTTTGTTTTGATCTTTACTTCTCCCCAAAATCAAGCAACAAATGTAAATTAGAATTTCCCAAGTACAATCAAGCTTCAATTTCTTCAATCAATGCAAAAATTGAATCAATCCTCCAAGATTTTAAACCCAAACTCCATAACTTCCATTCAAACCCATTTTGCAAACTTTCAATGTTCACATTCTTCAAATTTTTTTCTTCAATCTCATGAATATCATGTAATGATCATCTGTATCATGAATGATTGACAAACATATTTGATATGATGCATATGGATATATATGTTTAAGTTGGGTAATGACATGGAGTGAAGGAGAACTAGAGAGATGAAGTGTTATATGCAACAAAATGATGCAACTAGCAGGATAAAATCCAAACACCCGTGCTCTTGAACCGGTTCAGCTTTCTTGAACCTGTTCAAGAAAGGCAGTGCACATTATTACACAAGACTTGAACCGGTTCCACTTTCCTTAAACTGGTTTAAGATGGTCAGTCACATGTTTATGGCCAAATGACATGTTTGAACCGGTAGGGGATTTTGGGGACCGGTAGGATTATGACAGTATGTTATTCTAACTTGAAATTTTGCCAGAAATTTTCTTTGGAGTTTTTTTTTTTTTTTTTTAAAACACTTAGTGATCAAATTAAAACCAAAACAAAAAAAACTAAAAACTATAAGCTAAAAACAAAAATCTTTTTGATTTTTTTTCAGTTTTTTTTTTTTTTTTTTTTTTTTTTTTAAATAAAATAAAACAAAACAAATTATTAAGTAATTTAATCAAAGATTTTCAAGTCCATACCTGATCCAATTTCCCAGAGAATTATAGAGCTATCTATGAACAAAATTCTTGACACAACAGATTAGTCAGTCAATTTCATTTCTCAGGAAGTAATCACAAAATGAATTTTCACTTGCAAATATTAATAAAACAATTAGAAATCAATCTAGCAAGTTCAAGTGTGTGTGTGCAATTCATCTCCTCAATTTCCAATCAATTATCAATAAAACATTGTCTAAACTATATTGATCGAAAAACATCAAGATAAAATTGTCTTTGAGCAATTTTTCTAAGTTAGGTGGCTTTCACTCTAAAGAGCAGACAGCAATTCTCCAATTCAACTTGTCTCCACCTTTCTTTTTACTCATTTAGCTCATCTTCAAAGTCTAATGGGAGCTTTCGAACACATCTCAATAGGTAGCTTTTTCCTAAACTGAGAATTCAACATTTTTTTTTTTTCCTTTTTCTTTTGCAAGTTGATTTTTTTCATTTTTGTTTTTAAAGCTCCTATATTTTTTTTGACAATAACCTTTATAGCTTTTGTGATCAATACACCCTAGTTAACAAATTAAAGATTTTCAATCAAATTTTTCATATTTGGACTAGTGCACAAATGTTATGAACTTAAGAGATTAAAATCTAAACATCCCTTAATCAATGCAAATGAACTTTCATTGTATAGATTATAAGCCAAGAATCTATTCTTAATCAAAAAATCATGTGTCCAAATTTGCATTCAAGATAAATCATTAATTCAATGAAAGAATTTTCACAGATATTTCATGAAAACTATGATGAGAAACTCAATTCTAAACTAAACCCTAGTTAGTGATCCAATGGCAAAACAAACCATTTTCTATAAAAAAAAAAAAAAAAAAAAAAAAAAAAAACAACAAGCCATGATCACTGTAAGGACTTAGTTTGAAGGTGAAGTCTTTTTGGAAACTTGTTCCAAGGACTAAACAGGCACATATTTGATCAAATCAGATTTTTTGATCCAAACAGTTCTCACTCTCAACTCTTGAAATTCTTTAACATCCTTTACCTCTTTCTTAGACAAATTATCAGCTTTAGAAAACTTAGGTGACACATTCTTTTTCTTCCCAGAACGCCCCCTTTTTTTAGCATAAGAATTCTGAGAATGAATTTTAGAAAAGTCTTTCTTTTTCCTATGAAGGCATAAGTTATACTTATGTCCATTTTTCCCACAAAACGTGCAATGCAACAATTTAGGCAGATAAGACATAGCAGAATGTGATGTAATAGGCAAACATGGTTTAGGCATAATAGCAGGTTCAACAAACATTGGTTTACTTTGATTACCAGGAAAACCTTTAACAAATCCTAACCCTGTTTTATCATTCACATCCTTACCCATATTGATTATCTTATTCAAACTGTTTTGACTTATATTGATCCCTTTCAGTTTATCTCTTTCAGATTTCAACTCAATTTCAAGATAATTAGTTTTCAAAGCAAAACATTCCTTTAACGAGTTAGCAACACTTACCTTATCCTCAAGAATGATGATCTGTTTCTCAAGCTCAGTGACGACTGTCTCTCTTTCAACAGCCTTCTGTTGGCATTCAGCAATCTGTTTCTTGAGATCTTCATTCTCTCCTTTTTGCTGGATAAGCTCCTTTGCTAGCTTATTAATTGTCTGTTTGGTTTCAATGGTTTCTTTGACCATCTTCTTCAATCTTTCATCGTCCTTTTCAGCTTCTTCAATCTGTTCATCATGAACTTCATCTTCTTCGTTATCTGAACTATCAGAGTCAGATAAATGAACGACATGAGGACCCCTATCAAGAAAAGTGACATATACAAGATCATTAGTATCATCCTGAGGAGAATCACTATCACTTAAAGTAGAATTTTCAACCATAGAAACTTTTATTACTTTTCCTTTATTCCCATCCTTTTGTTCTTTCCTAGGATTAGGACAAACATTGGCTGCATGACCTTTGCCACCACAATTCCAGTAAGTAAATTTCATTTCTTTTGATTCTTCTATTTTCTTTTCATTAAATCTAAACTTTGACGTTTTGTCAAAATTTTGAGGATTAGCCTTGTTGCTATTCCTTCTCCTCTGTTGCCTTTGCAAAATCTGACTGAATTGCCTTGACAAGAATGCAATATCATCATCAGAGTCATCATTCACAGAATTCTCAACCTGTGTAGATTTTAAAGCAAGATTTTTCTCCTTCTGATTTAAATCAAAATTCTGCATCTCAAAAGTTTTTAGTGAACCTACCATCTCATCAACTCTACAAGTAGTCAAATCCCAATGTTCAGAGATGGTTTCAACCCTAATCTTAAATCTCTTAGGTAAAGACCTTAAGATTTTTTCACAGATTTTTTTATCACTAACTTTTTCCCCTAAGTGACACAGTTCAGAGATTATTTCAAGAAGACTAGAATAAAAATCAGAAAAGGATTCATCTTCTTTCATCACGATGTTGCCAAACTTATAAGAGAGCAATTGAATTTTGGACAACTTCACATTTAAAGTTCCTTCATGAGTAACCTGCAAAATATCCCAAGCTTCTTTAGCAGTTTTACAATCAGAAATTCTAACATATTCAGATGGAACAACAGAATTAATACTTGAATATAAAGCTTTGCCATTCGCATCATTACGCTCAGTTTCAATAGCAGTAAAAACAAAAGTATCTTTTAACTCTTTGACTATTTTACCATCCACAGTTGTATCTACTATAGGAGGTGTATAACCAGATTCAACTATTGCCCAAGTTTTACCACCAGAATTTTACAAATAGGCTCTCATATTTGATTTCCGAAAATTGTAATTATCTCCTTCAAATAAGGGACCACGTTGATTAGAACCGCCTTCTTTCAACGCATAAGACATGATTAAAATAATTTTTGAACACAAAACTTTCCAACAAGGATCAACTCAATGTATAGAGGTTGGCTCTAATACCAAATTGTGAGTCGTACCCAGCGGAATGTATATAGAAAAGTTTTTGTTTGTTTTTATAAAACAGATCTGTGTTCGTACTTTACTTATTTTATATTTTAGCAATTAAACAGTTAATCACATGCAGATAAAATAAAGCAAAGTATAAGTTAGAGATGACACCAGAATTTTAGCGAGGAAACCCCAGTTCATAAAATACGTCAACTGTGGGAAAAACCTCGTGGACTTGTACAGTCCAAAGTAAACCAATCCACTATGATTGGAACAAAGTATACTGAACTTTGACTCTTGCTCACACCCTATCGTTCTACACCACACCAACCGCTGACGATCCTCTGGCTTTGCGACTCCCCATCCAACAGCTACTTGGACTGACACTTGATATTTGTAGAATAATAGCAGGTAGATCAGACAGCACTTCACGAATGCTCCAATCCTTCCAAAGTGTGACTGCGTTTACTTTTGTTCTTCCATCGTCTGAATGATGTAGAAGAAGATCTGCTTCGTCTGATCAATGTTGATACAACTTTATGATCACGATCAGGATTCGAACACCACAACTTTAACCTATCTAGGTAAATATGTGTATGATCTAGGAAGACTACAGAAAAATCAACTTTGATTTTCTGTGAGAAAGAAACTTCCTAAGGCTTTGAAAAATATATGACTTATAATGTAAAAGCTGTCAATAAACCAATGTATATGACATGGTTTATATAGAGTCTAGAATGACCTAATCCCTCTGAAAATATCATAAAAATTCATGCATAGGATTTGGTACAATTCTAGACCAACTGGGAAACAATTCAGAATAAGGAAACTAAAGTTGTATAGTGAACAGGACTTCTTGAACCTGTTCAATAAATCTTGAACCGGTTCAAGATAGACAGAGTGTAAAATCTCGACTATGCTGAAGTTGAACCTGTTCGATAAATCTTGAACCAGTTCAAGATGGACAGAATGTAAACACTTGTTCCTAAGAAAATAGGAAGTGTAGAATGTCCAACCTTGTTCAGAATCCTTCCAATGTGGTGTTCTTACCTTTTTCCTCAAAACTCTTAAAATATGGTAAGTTTGAACTCCTTCCCAGTTGTGTAATTCCTGTTGAACTCGATGACTTGTAGAACATATAAATTACAACTCAACTTGGACTTGTTATGTCTACGATAATGATAATTGCCAATACATAAATAATATCTCACAGTATCCATTTAGATAATCATCATTGTACATTACAAAAACAGATAATCCTTAAATAGACCTATATATATGTACACACACATAGCCATGAAGATACATGTGAAGTTTACACACCTCTTCTGTTGAACGGCTTGAAAAAGCAGTCAAGAACAAAATAATAGCAAGAGGTCCCATAAGTTTCGACGATACGAAACCAGGCTTGTCTCCAATAAGGATTTATGCACAGAACTACAACAACTCCCAAGAACGCAATTATGAAAGAGACGGTAAAAGTCACATAGAAAACCCCCATATGCATAAAACCTTCCTCTTTTGAAGAGTGATGAGGCAATGTCGACGGAGATCCAATTTTAGTGCAACTGTTACATAATGGAGGTCCACAAAGAAGAGGATTTCCCTCATAATTGCTTTCTTCAAAGGTCCCAAACTGAGCTTTCCGTTCCGGAGTTCTACCTGATAAATTGTTGTGTGACACATTGAAGACTGCCAAAGAGTTTAACTCAATGAGTTGATAGGGAATTGTTCCACTCAAATTGTTGTAGGAAAGATCCAAACTCTCCACTTGTTTTAACATTGAGAAAGTTGTTGGGATTGAACCAATGAGATTGTTATGCGACAGGTTTAGTGCATGGATCTTGTTTAGATTTCCAATAGTAGATGGGATTTCTCCTGTTAAGTGGTTGGAAGAGAGATCCACTCCTGACATATAGTCCAGTATATTACCACTGTATGCATACAATCTACTCTTTGTGGTGAACTCCACTACTTGTGCCCCAACCTTTAGTGGGAATTCCTCATTCTTCTCACCAAAAGTATTATAGTTGTTAAATAACCTTGTCTCCATCACCACGTAAAACACAAAATAAATTCTCCAATCCACAACACCAAAGCTATCTGATATAAAGGATTTTGTAGTCATTGGCTTAAAAGGTATGTAACCAAAGCAATGAGGTATGGAACCAGAAAGATTGTTTTGAGAAAGATCCAATATAGTTAACCCTTTCAAGCTGCACAATTGGACAGGAATTTCACCCTCGAGACTATTAGATTTGAGGAGAAGAATGCTCAATGAGGAAAGGTTGCTAATCCAGCTCGGAACCTTACCACTTATGTTATTGTCTCTTAGATCTAACGTCACCAGAGAATAACAGTTGTAAAATGTATGTGTGAATGGGCCACTTAGCATGTTGTGATTCAGATGTACATGTTGTATTTGTGATGAGTTGAAGCAAGATGGTATAGATCTGGACAGATTATTGTTGGAAAGGTCTAAAAAAGAAAGCCGAGCAAGTTTGGAGAACTCAGCTGGAATTGGACCTTCAAAATGATTTTTGGACATGACAAGTACTTCTATGTAATGGATATTCCCAATCCATATTGGAAGATTACCTGATATGTTGTTATTGCTAATGTCTAATGCCGTCAAATGAGATGCGGTAGACAAGCTATCTGGAATCTTTCCTTCAAAACGGTTATTGTCCAAATATAAAAATTCCAAATCGGTTAGGTTCACAACATCAGGAAGCATCCGACCATCCAAATTATTACTAGATAGTTTGAGGAAATGTAAGGAGGAGCAACCAATTGCAAAATGTTGAGGTATTTGCCCTGATAAATTATTGTTAGACAAGTCTAAAGCCCATAAAGAATGCAGATCACCTAATGAAGCCGGAATCCTACCTTCCAATTCATTTCCGGACAAGTTTAAATAACGTAAACTGGGAAAGATGGAACCTATATTTGTTGGCAGTTGACCATGAATATGATTGTTAGAGATATCAATACTCTTTGTGATGTTGTAAGGAGAAGAAGTCAAAAATGGGAAAGGCCCTGAGAAGGAGTTATTTCTTAAATTAAGAAAACCCAATAGTGTATTGTTTGCTAACAACCAAGAGAGAAAAAATGTCCCACCTGCAGTCAGATTGTTATGTGATAGATCAACCTCTATGAGGTGATGTTGATGATAGAGAAAATGGAAAAGTCTTTCACTGAACTGGTTGGCATTGCAGTTTGACAAAGTGAAAACCTTCAATTGGAACCTTGGAATTATTGAAATTGACAAAGTCTTACTCAATTTGTTGTGATCACCTGAAATGAGCTTTATGTCACGGGCTTAGAGTTTCAGCACCACTCTAGCTGCTCCCGTGCGGCACCAAGACGTTGCTTTCACTCTCGCAAGTACTTGGTCAGCCTAACTCCCGTGCACACCTTAGCCAACACACTCCCCTCGTGCGCTTACTAGTGTTGTAGTTGCCCTCGCCCTCTCCTCACTTCACTTACACACACTAAGGCACTTAAGTTGGCAAGGAAAGAACACTTCTATTACTTCAAAGAATGCTCTGTACAAGGCTAGCACTCAAGCTCTCTACAAGGCTCTCAAGACTCACTCTAGGACTTGTTGTCCACAAAATGAAGTCCTACCTCTATTTATAGGCATCCCCATCCCCAATGGACGGCTAGGATGCATTTTAACCGATGGTGGAGATCGATTCTCTAGAATCTTCTCCCACCTTCTTCACACTTCCATACTTATCCATAAATATCTACAACATTCTAGAACTCTCCATACTACTCCACACAACTCTGGAGAACTCTAGAACCTTCCACACACTTCTACATATTTCTACACATATCTAGAATCTTCCACACAACTCTAGACTACTCCGGAAGACTCTAGAAACTCCACTTGCCATGCAGTTGCCATGCAGCATCCTCCTCAGCGTCTGCGTGGCACAACCTCCATAGGCGGGGCGTGACATTCTCCCCCACCCATTTCCGTGACGCCCTCGTCACGGTTTCTTCAGCTGACCCAGCCTCTCGCAGGTCATCAGCACTTGCGCATATGTCCTTGGCCCAAACGTACGAGCGCCCTTCGGGAGATGTGAGGTCCTCACGAGCTCCATCGTGTTGATTGCCACCTCTGGACTCTCCTTCCTGCCCACGAGCGGCACCATGCATGCGGCCTTGTCTTCCTCGCCTCCAAGTATCATTAACGCACCAAGGCATGGTAGTGGCGCGGCGTTGTTCCTATCCATGAACTCCAGCCCCAGCACCATGTCGTGGTCGTCCATCTCCGCAACCTGGAAGTCAGCCTTGCCCTTCCATCCTTGCATGTATAGCTCCACCTCCTTGCACACTCTACTCACGCGTGCCTCCTCGGAGTTAACGGCCTTGATCCAGCCCTCCGTCTTGCGCATCTCCAAGCCAAGTCGTTGCGCCTCCTCCGGGGTAATGAAGTTGTGTGTAGCGCCCGTGTCTACCAACGCTTGCACGGCTTTGCCACCAACCTGCGCATCCACATAGCGCACCCCAGCTACCTTCTTTGCCTTAACCTTCTTCTTGGTGTCATGCGCCATGCTACTCAGCATCTGCATAGCCCCCATGCACCTATCTTCATCGCTGCCCGCATCGTCCACCTTGCCCTTGCCCTTATCCTTCACAAGGGCGCTCATGGCCTTCTTGTTGGGGCAGTGTCGCAATATGTGCGGCCCTTCGCACAAGTAACACTTCGGCTCCCACTTACCCTTATCACGGCGCTCCCATTTGCCACTAGCCTTGGACCTCTCTCCACGGTCTTTGCCCTTATCATGGCGTGGGCGTCTCTCCTCATCGCTGTGCTCATCATCACTGGACTTGGGCGAGCCACGTTTCTTAAAGCGCTGGTCTCCCCCACCTTTGCCGTGGTCCCTCCTGGGAGACATGGCCCTCTTGTCATCGTGCCTAAAGTCTTCAAGGCGCTCCGCTATAGCCATTGCGGATGCCAAGTCTCTAAGCTCCCTCCTTCTCAGCTCTGTGGCTACCCAAGACTGCAACCCATCAATGAACAAGCACACGCGTTGCCGCTCCGGCATCTCTGGGATCTCCAGCATCAAGTTGGAGTACTCCTTCACATACTCCCTTATGCTGCCCTTCTGCTTCAGGCGCCTTAGGTTGATCATGGCGAGGTCCTCAACGCACTCGAGATAGAACTGCCTCTTGAGCTGCCTCTTAAACTCCTCCCATGTGTCAACTGCTCTTGCGCCTCTACCGGTGAAGCGCTGCCTCCACCATAGAGCGGCAGTGTCCGTGAGGTACATAGTGCCTGTCTGCACCTTCTCCTCATCATCCTCGATCTCCATGCACTCGAAGTACCGCTCCATGTGCCAGAAGAAGTTGTCAATCTGGCGCGCATTCCTTGCCCCATCGTACTCCTTGGGCTCCTGCGCCTTCTTCTTCCTTGGCTTCACCACGACCTCGCGCGCCTGGGAGAATTCCTTCTTGCACTCGGCAATCTCCACGCGCAAGTCGTCTACCAGATCATGCAAGTCCCTTTCCTTCTCTTGCGCCTTGTTGGCGATGCCATCAATCAGCTCGTAGAGCTCCGCCATCCTTTTCTCGAGCCTATTAAACTTAGTCTCCGTGTAGACCAAGTGTGTAGCAAGCTTCTCCTCCAAGCTCTGCTCTAAGATGTGGACTTGGTGGTCTCCTCCGCTAGCCATGTCTACTCCAACAAAGCTCCCTTGACGAACCTGGCTCTGATACCAACTGTCACGGGCTTAGAGTTTCAGCACCACTCTAGCTGCTCCCGTGCGGCACCAAGACGTTGCTTTCACTCTCGCAAGTACTTGGTCAGCCTAACTCCCGTGCACACCTTAGCCAACACACTCCCCTTGTGCGCTTACTAGTGTTGTAGTTGCCCTCGCCCTCTCCTCACTTCACTTACACACACTAAGGTACTTAAGTTGGCAAGGAAAGAACACTTCTATTACTTCAAAGAATGCTCTGTACAAGGCTAGCACTCAAGCTCTCTACAAGGCTCTCAAGACTCACTCTAGGACTTGTTGTCCACAAAATGAAGTCCTACCTCTATTTATAGGCATCCCCATCCCCAATGGACGGCTAGGATGCATTTTAACCGATGGTGGAGATCGATTCTCTAGAATCTTCTCCCACCTTCTTCACACTTCCATACTTATCCATAAATATCTACAACATTCTAGAACTCTCCATACTACTCCACACAACTCTGGAGAACTCTAGAACCTTCCACACACTTCTACATATTTCTACACATATCTAGAATCTTCCACACAACTCTAGACTACTCCGGAAGACTCTAGAAACTCCACTTGCCATGCAGTTGCCATGCAGCATCCTCCTCAGCGTCTGCGTGGCACAACCTCCATAGGCGGGGCGTGACATTTAGCTTTGAATGATTATAACATGCGGAAAACGAGATTGGGATCACAAAATCATTATGTGAAAGTGAAAGATATTGGAGTGATGTGAGACTGGTAAGGGGGGAGGAGGCAATACTTCCAGTGAAATGATTGAATGAGAGTTCCAAATAGCGGAGTGATGTCAAATTCCTCATGCACCAAGGAAGTGTCCCATTTAATCCATTCTCACTCAGATCCAACTCTTCAAGATTATAAAGCTCACACCAGCCTGAAAAACCCAATGTTAAGTTGAGTTAGACTTTTATTATGTCTACATCCAAATCAATTATTAAAATTTTTTTTTTTTTATCAAAACAATATTATTAAATTGAATTTTTTTCATGATTATTAATCCAAAAAATTAAATCTAGAATAAAGTATATAAACCTTGGTTCGGTAGTCTGCCTTTGAATTCAACGTGTCCCATTGACAACACTCTAAGAGAAGTTATTACACCAACATTATGAAAAAAGCTGACGTCAATAGAGGAGCCATCCAAATACAATTCCTCCAAGTTGGCTAACCCCTCCAAATCTAATAACAACAGTTGAAAATAAAATTATTACAGTATCTGCAAAGAAGATATTAAGATTATGATGGCAAGAAAATTTGAGATTGAGTCATTGACAGCTACAAACTTAGGATGATTCGGATGGAGTATACGTGATCTGTGCTCATTTTTAGCAAAAGGGTAAATACACACACACACACACAAACACACACACATATATATAACTAAATACATTTTCTATAAAGTGTAATAAGTGAAGTAATGCCAATTTAAAGTGAGCTTGAGACATTTTTAAATTGTTCAACCCGTCCAACCCTAGAAAGAGTATTAAGAAAATAACAAGAAAACCATAGGTGAAGATGAATATCAGGACCCAAATTAGTCGACTGAAGGAAAAAATAAAAAATGGATATCTGGTACAATCAAAACGTTTTCTACTCATTTTAATAATATATATAACTGAATATGTTTTTAATTCCAATATTGAAAAAATGCCAATTCAAATTGAGTTGAGAGGCATCTTCGGGCATCTCCATTATCTCTTACCTTTTTTTGTAACCAATCCTCGCATCAATTCATAATCGTTCTGGAGATGTAACTCCCTTAGTGAGGAAAGAGCACCCAATGATTGTAGAATGCTGGCATTTTTAAAACTGTTCGGCCCCAAACGCATGATTTTCAGCTTGCTTAAGCTCTTCAAGCCTGATTAGTATGAAAATGAATATTTAAAATCTGGTTGGTAATCGCATCTCAACATGGTCTCTCAAAATTAGATCAACCAAAGTGCTTTTATCTCATTTTATACCTTCATTTCCCGTAAAACTATTTATCTGGTTGTTACTCAAGTCCGACTCCACCAAATTGCTCATGTTAAGAAAAGCTACAATGACACCAAAAGAAACTGATATCAGAATTTATACACTTCAAACCATTCATACTAATTTAGAGGCAAAACCTGCAAATTTTTTTTTTTTTTTGACACTAATTTGAGGATAAAATTGCTCAGGACTAATATGTATTTGTACTTTTTTTTTTTTTTTGTTGAATTTAAATTGCAGTTAAATAACAAGTAGTAGCTTTCCTCCAAATTTATAAAGTATGTATGAAAAATGATAATATTAAGGCATATTGAGAACAAGAACATATGCTTCTTTTGTCATTTTTGAATTAATCACCTTGAGTGTCAATTGATCCATTCAAATTGTTGTTGGCTAGAGATAAAAGTGCACCAATCCAATTCCAAGTGATGAAAGTGCACCAAGAGATGGCAAAATGCTATTATTAAATAAATTCAAATCCAATATAAGCACCTCTAACTTCCTTAACTCATATAATCTTTCAAAACCTGCAAATTATATTGGAAATTTCAAAGTCACACACAATTAAAAAAATTCTAAAAAATAAAAAAAGAGTGTATATCAATAAAAATAAATAAATAACGCAAACAGCTAACCTCCATGCTCAACCCAACAACTAACTGAATGTATTTCAAGTCTAGATATACGAGTTCCCTAAAGGGAAGAAACAATGAGAAATTCATATAACGGGTTAGGCCATCATCGTCACGCCAATCTGTGGCATTGAGTAGAAGTTGGACGACCCTCCCATTGTTGCACTCAACCCTTTCCCAATCACAACAGTTGCTGTGTTTATCATTTGATTCCCAAGATGTCAGAGGAGACGTTCCATTTGGATAGTTGATGGAGGCTTCGATTTGCAAGAGAGCCATCCTCTCTGACTCTAAGCAACCAAAGCATCCATTAACATGGATGTGAAACAAAATCCAAACCCACCAAAACAACCGATCCATCTCCATATATATAAACTAGTAGTATCTAATGGTTCTCTCTCACCTTACCTACTTTCTATGACCCGAAGCTTCTTGTACTACTGGTGGTTTTTATAAACGAGATTTAAGATTATATATAGACCAATAAAGTTGGTGTTGTAGGATGTAGATGCTTATACTAATTTTTTAACTGCAAGCCTGAAACACTCAAAACAAAAATTCAAAATGGTTTAGTAATGTAGGGGACCATGTTTGACGAAGAAGCCCTTTCAAATTGAATGGGTAAAATATTACTCGGAAACAAGCATTCCTCCTCTAATTTTGAGATGTTGCAAAATCAATGTAATATAATAATATATAAAGTCTTTTATCTTTATCTTTAATTTTTGAAATTTCTCTATTATTATTAATATATGTTTTTGAATGTTCGGAGGGCTAGTTTTATTATTATTATTACTTGCAAATGGATTCATAGTTGTCTCATAAAAGGACATTTATCTTTGTGATGTTCCATCTTTTTTTTTTCTCTCTCTCCAACTACGGAGAAGACCTTAATTTCTATCTCTACGGTCGTTAGAAGACCTTGACCAGTTTATATATATGTATGAGTAAATAAATAAAAATATTGAAGAGGCTTGAGACTTCAAAAAGTATCTCTATTAGCATTTTTTCATTTTAAGTCTTCAAATTTGTCTTGGCAACTTGTTAAAATTTGAAAAAGTTATGTCAATTAGGACTGACTTATATATACATTACTGGGATACTTTCTTTTTTTATTATACCCTTGCTAATTTTCTCTTTTTAATTACATACTTATAAAATTTTACCATTGTCCTCACTGAAATAATTAAAAAAATAATAATTATTGTTGCCTTTTCTCACATAATTTTCTGAATAGTGCACGTTTTGAACTCTCCAAATTTTGGCTATTGAATGTTCCACAATAATAGGCATTCGCTCTTCAAAAAATATATTTTTATTTTTAATTTTTTTTCCAATGACAATATTAAAAAGAAATTAAACAATACAATATCCATTATGGATTAAAAGACTGGTTAAATTCGTGAAAATCATAAAATCCCCTGTACCATTTCAAAATGTCACATAACTTTCTCATACTAACAAATAGCCTCAAGAACTAACAAAAATGATCATTCTACCCCCATTCAGTGATGGAAATGTTAACTGACATGTGAAATGACAAAATTAATTTTTCTAATTAAAATTATAAAACATCTCATATACTAACCAAAATCAGTCCTATAACCCCATATACTAAGAAAAATATCTAAAACCTTTTTGCTTGTTAAAAATATCTAAAAGCTTCATTACGCATACTTGTCATGCGCTAACTTTTAAAATGATATATGAATATGATGTCTTTTTAATCCCTTATTGACTAAAGATGCATTTTGAAAAATCAAATTCATTGTATCCACTCATTTTGAATCATTGTAATATAATGATAGGCCAAAAGGACCCACGTGGCACTCATTGTAAATCATTGTATATCTAAAAACTTCATTAGGCATACTTGTCATGTGCTAACTTTTAAAATGATATATGAATATGATGTCTTTTTAATTCCTTATTGACTAAAGATGCACTTTGAAAAATCAAGTTCATTGTATCCACTCATTTTGAATCATTGTAATATAATGATAGGCCAAAAGGACCCACGTGGCACTCATTGTAAATCATTGTAAAATTAACACCCAATTCCTGCACTAAACAGAGATGGGGAAATTGTATTTAATGAAGGTTGTGTGTCTGGGCATGAAAGAATCGATGTGAATTTCAATGGTCAATCAAACACCTCTTCACTTTGCAGCAACTCATGGAGCTATTTGTTAGTTACACATGAAGCATTATTGTAATTTGCATTGGAAAACATTGGTGCTTAAAGAGCTTTCTCCTCTCTTTCCTTTTTTATTCTTTTGTGTGTGTTTGAGTGTGTAGGGAGGGGGGCTTGTTATTACCGAAACATGAGTTCATTGCAGAACAATTTTGAAATGGTTTTAGCAACATTAATTTCTGAAACTCCGTGATAGATTGTACAAAAATAAGAAGTCAAGTTGAAGTATAATTTACCTTATTGTAGCAGAAGCAATTTGTTACTCTAGCTCTGTGATGTTGAGTTAATAACAAATGCAGCTTTCACATCATTTCACTATATATAATTGTTAGTTAGATTTCTTGTACATTCTCTTTATTTTTTTCTTTCCTCAATTACACAATATTTTGCATTTGGGTGATGTATTGCATCGAACTGCAGAATTAGATGATATTCATGGGAAGAAGAATTAACTAGCTGAAGGTTAGAATTATTGGACCCCTCTGCACAGAGCTGCATTCAAGGGTGGAGAGAAAAATATATGTGAGTCTTGGTATTGTGCGATGTGGTTTTAAATTTAGTATTGTGTGCATATTTTCTCAGGTCATACGAATGGCATATTTGACATTTCAAAATTATACATTCAATTTTTTAAAATAATATTATACAATCAGCAATTATTTTTGTTAATTTGCATGAAATTAACAATTCCATCAAAAAATGGAAGCAATATAATAATTTTTGTTAGTTATGAAAATTATTTGTTAACACAAGAAATTATATGACACTTTTAAAAATTAGAGGAAGGTTTTATAATTTAAACCCTAAACGCTATAGATATATACACGATAAAAAAAGTGGTCAAGGAAAACAACAATACACGCGAGTCATTAAGACTTGTCGCAAAAGTCAATAGAATTTAATAGCATAGAACTACTTTTTCCATGTAGAATACAAAACGTCTCCAAAGGTGTCCCATCATTTGTTAGACTACCTTTCAACCTTCCTAAAAGCTCCGTTTGGATAAACAGGAAAGAAAAGAAAGGAAAGAATTATGAAAAAAAATAAAAAAATAAAAAATAAAAAATAAAAAAAAAAGGAGAAGAAGAAGAAAGAAAGAAGAAAAGAAAAGAAAAGAAATGATAGATATAATAATATTCATGTTTGGATGGATATGAGAGAAAAGAAATGAATGAGTAATATTCTTGTTTGGATGGATAGGAGAGAAAAGAAATGAATGGATAATTTACCATCTTATCTTTTTTTGTGGGATCAAGGCTGTAGACACTAAAATTTTAGTGGGCTTTGGTTTTGACAAATGGACCCATAAAATATGGGCTTAATATTTAATTAAGTTATTTAATTGGCTCAAATTTGGTCTACTTAAATTATTTAATTAGCCCAACCCAGATAATTAAATATAAAGATAATTATTCCTAATAAAATATATTTTGAATAATTATATTTAAGGATAATTATCATAATATAACCAGCCCGGCCCAATTATGATTTTATCCTTATCAAGAGATGACACGTGTCATCATCCTATTAATCCAAGAAGCCTATAAATAGAGGCCTGGAGGAAGAAGACAGGGACACAAATTCAGAGTTCAGAAATCCAGAGATTCAGAAATCCAGAATTTCAGAGAGAAATACAAAAACTCTCATCCCCAACATCCAAACCCAAAAGCAAAAAACAACAAGCACATCAAATTGTGCCGGTCTTTATCAAATTCCAAGGTGATCAACAATAAGCACATCAAATCATGCCATTCTTCATCGAAATTCCACGGTGATTTAAGAACAAGCTCGTGCAGCCCTTGGATCCAACCAACAGTAAAAAAGGAGATCGAATCAGAGGACCTTTCTTTTTGTAAAAGATATTACAAAGGATTGTACTCCAATTATTTTTTCAATTTAATAAAATATTATTATTTGTTGCTCCATATTTTGTTTCTATTTGCAGACTTACAAAATTTGCATATACAAATTTGTGACACAACCAGTGGGACTCCTTTGCCTCTCATCTCTTTTTCCTACCATCAAGTTTCTTCTCTGTCAGATTTTATGGCTCCTCCTAAGACTTAGACAGACAAGAAAGCCCAAAATAACATCGTTACTGCAAGGTCGATGCCAAAGCTACCATGAAAAGTGGCACGAAGGCAAAATCAAGTGATGGAAGTACCTTAGCGGGCCCTATGACACATAGCAAGTCCCAGGCAATCGCGTTATCCAAACATCAGTAAGACTTGGTGAAAACTACTCCTATAAAGCCGGCGAACGTTGTAATACCTCTAATTTTAAATGATAGACTTGGTAGTTTATTTTTGAGGTTTTATTGTAATTTTGCATTCTTATGTGATTATTTGGCTATTTGTTTGGTTGTTTTGTTTGTTGTTAATTAATTGATTAATTGCAATATTTTGTTTTATTTCATTATTTGATTCAACTGATTAACTTGATTAGCTGGATTAATTGTTTTATGTATTTAATATTGGATTAATTATTTAATTGGTTTGATTTAATTGTTAACTGCTTAATTGTTTTAATTATATAATTAGGGTTTTATGTTTTTATGAGATCGTGGGTGGCGGACTAGTTGTTTAGTTATTGTTTTAGTTTTTCCCTTCACGTAGTAGGACTAGGTTTAGGGTAAACTTAACTGCCTATATATATACGAGTATAAGTCTGCCAAGGGTTTTAGAACCCTAAGCACGTACTGGAGGCAGAAGAATTGAGGAGTTAGGAACAGTAGAAATCGCCGGAAACCTTAGGAAGACGACGCTAAGATTTTAAACTAAAGTCTTACAGACAAGTTCTAACCTTAACTCCTTCCCTTTTACTCGTGTTCTTTGCATGCCTAAAGCAGTTCTAGGAACCATTAACCGTAAGAATTAATTGATTGTGCATGTTTAAAACTTATTAAAGCAGTATGTGTTGAAACGATTTGTAAATTGCTAGTCTTTGTGTTCGACTGTGTACCTACTAGTTTAAAATTGCTGTTAATCAATGCATAAATGAGTTGGATAAATATTTTCTGGTTAAGTCTGAACCTAATTAAAACCATTAGAGACTGTAACAGAGAGGGACGGAATCAATGGAATTCACCGGAGATGAAACAGGTGAGGAACGGGTGAGAGTCGGCTCTCAGTTAAGGAGAGCAGGCTCTCCTTCACAAAGAGGCGGCTCCATGGAAGCATGGAGCCGGCTCCTTCGTGGTTTTGCAATTTTTTTGGTTTTCTGCGAAGTCTGGGCTGTTGTGTTCGGATTTTTAAAATTCCAGGTT